GTATTGTTTTGGAGGCTGTCCTAGAACTCACTTTGTAGGCCAGGCTAGCCTTGAACTCAAAGAGATCCGCCTGCCTCTGCCTCCTGAGTGCTGGGATTAAAGGTGTGCACTACCAATGCCCGTCCTTAAACCCATTTCTTACTTTAGAAATTTACCTTTAGAAAATATTTTTAACTATATGCAAAATTCACTACCATCTACCTTGGAATATTGAAAAAGTAAAACTCCATATGTTCAACAACAGGAAAACAATTAAAGGTGACAGACCTGTGGATTATAGAACTACTTGAAAATAACAAAGAAGCCTGGGGCTATGTCAGTGGAAACCCTGCTCTGCATATGCAAACTCCTGAGCTGGATCCCCAGGGCTGGAGAAAAAAAAGCTGGAAAAGGGCTGGTAGAGAAAAAGAAGAAGAAAAGGGAAGAGAGTAAAGAAGACAAGACACAAAGGAACATAGACAAGATTTATTTCATTTCATTCCAAAAGGCCGTGAGTTGGCAAGCAGAATAACCGTTTACTTCATGCTGATTACAACCAATTAAAATTAAATACTTACTTGGTTAAAACTTAAAAAAGAAGCATGGTGGTGGTGGTGGCGGCGGCGGCGGCGGCAGGCGTGGCAAGCGGCAGCGGGCAGGCAGGCGGCGGCGGCGGCGGCGCACGCCTTTAATCCCAGCACTCGGGAAGCAGAGGCAGGCGGATCTCTGTGAGTTCAAGGCCAGCCTGGCCTACAGAGCGAATTCCAGGACAGCCTCCAAAACAATACAGAGAAACCCTGTCTCAAAGAAAAAATAAAAGAATAAAGAAAGCTAGCTCTATGCAAGCATGAATGAATTTATAAGGCCAGGCGTTGGTGGTGCACGCCTTTAATCCTAGCACTTGGGAGGCAGAGGTAGGTGGATCTCTGTGAGTTTGAGGCCAGCCTGGTCTACCAAGCAAGTTCCAGGACAGCCTCCAAAACAATACAGAGAAAGCCTGTTTTAAAAAAAAAAAAAAAAAAAGAAGGAAAGAATGAAGCAATTTTAGTAGTATTTATATGAGAAATTTCTTTTCCCCCCTTTAAGTTGTCTTAAGATTGATACAATAAAGAATCATACAAAATGAATACATTTATTCACATGACTAGTACTAAAAAAATTCACAAAAAAACCCAAAAAACAAAGAGTTCACATGATCCAAACATCTTGTTGAAGTTGTTTTAGAAGATATTTTTTAAACAATCATATTTACATATTCAATATCTCCAGTGTGTGTGTAGGGGACCCTACATAATGTTTCAATCTTTTTATTTTATTTATTTATAAATGTTTATTTCAACTAAAAACAATCTTATTTTACATACCAATCCCAGTTCCCTTTCCCTCCCCTCCTCCCATGTCCCCCACCAACCACCCCACCCCACCTCCATCCACTCCCCAGGAAGGATGAAGCCTCCCATTGGGGATCATCAAAGTCTGTCTCATCATTTGAGGAAGGGCCTAGGTCCTCCCCTGTGTAGCTAGGCTGAGAGAGCATCCCTCTATAGGGAATGGGTTCCCAAAGTCCATTTGTGCACTAGGGATAAGTATTGGCTCCACTGCCAGAGGCCCTATAGACTGCCCGGGCCTCCCAACTGACACCCACATTTAGGGGGCCTGGTTTGGTCCTATGCTGGTTCCCCAGCTGTCAGACTAGGGTCCAGGAGCTCTCACTTGCTCAGGTCAGCTGTTTCTGTGGGTTTCCCCAGCATGGTCTTGACCCTTTTGCTCATCACTCCTCCCTCTCTACAACTGGATTCCAAGAGTTCAACTCAGTGATTAGCTGTCCAAGCATCTTTTAATAAATTATGTCCAAGACCAGACCCTTTATCATACAATGAGTTCTGGGGGGCACATGGTATGTATCAGTTCCTAGCCTCTCTGAATTCATGAGTTGGTACAGGAAATAAGACTCATACAGCCATCCCTTCAAATCCTAGGACACTGGTTCCAAGAACCCTGAAGGATGCCAAGATCTGCACATACTCCAAGTACCCAACATAAACTGGTGTAGTATTTGCATATAACATACACATATAGCCAGCTGAATACTTTAAACCACCTCTACATTTCCTGCAATACAAGAAATGTCCTAGATTGTCTAGGGAAGGACGTGAGAAATGTCTGAACATATTTAGCACAGACACAATTATCTTCCTTTAATTCTTTTCCAGTTAAACTTGGTTGAATTTGCAGACATGGATCTCAGCACCACTTTACCTTAGTCTTCAATATCCCATCTCAGACAGGCAATTTTTCTCATCCCTCTTGCCCTCAACCCCCCCTTCAGTCCACTAATACCATCCCTTCCTTCTCCTAGGCAGTTGATACTGCCTTTTCCTATACAGAGAGGAACGCCTGGCCTCAGGGCCCACTCTACACCAGCCTCTCCAATGGCTGAGGCTACGGTGTGTGTCACCAGCTCTAGCCAGAAAGAATTCTTAAGTCCAGATGTATTCTTCCTCTGTACTTACCCCCACTCTCTGGTTTCAGAACCAACAAGGCACCTGCTTCCTGGACCCAGGACCTTCAGCCTACTACTGCCTTAGTCCAAGCTTGTGCATGCCATCATCTTCCCCCAAAATAGCCAGCTAGGAGGAGGTCTTTCCCTTAGGGTCCAGGTTCTTCTAGGTCATTATCACTGGCTTTCCTCCTCGTTTTACAAATACCTAAAGAGCTGCCTTTGCCCACTGCCCCTTCCCCCTCTCTCCCGGTCCTGACTGCAGCTAACTCTCCCACGCCTGAAATGGTACCTCAGAAACGAAAGCCAATGGCTGTCTTCCATGTTCCATTTCTCTTGACTTTGCAGCTGTGTTTAATCCTTTTGGCCATTTTATGCCCTGAAATAGTCTTCTCTTTTCTCTCTTATCACCTTAATCAGCAGAAGGAGCAAACTGTTGCCTTTGGGCCATCCAGGGAGAAGAGATGTGGAGGAAGGGCTCTGAGTTCCTCAGGAGAGCAGGGGTGTGGTGGCCGTGCAGTTGTAGACCGAAGATCCATCAGATAAAGTTGTGAGCACTGGATTCCTTCCAGCAGCCTGAATCAGACAGAAGGGTGGGAGGAAGTCACCAGAAGGGCTCAGAGATTTGCTTATTCTGTGCCAGAAAAAAAAAGTGTAAGGGAGAATGAACCACACTAGGGGGACCTGTTGACAGTTTGGAATGCCCTCTTTTAGGGTATAAGGGATAGAAGTAGAATTGAAGACAGCTGGGTCTTCTGCAGTATTCTCCAACAGCTTGCACTTCCAACCTACATTCGTTCAACAGGAGAAAATCAACGTCCCACGGTTAAAGTAGTTTTGCCTTTTAATTTTAGTGTCAGTCTGGTGAGCAGCTTGATAAGTGATTGTACCCTAGCTATTGGCTGTTTTGATTCTTACTCCTACGTAGTAGGTGTCTGTCTCAGTTTTCCACTCCTGTGGTAAAATACCTCGACACACGGCAACTTGGGGAGGATGGGGCTTCTTTTACATCCATGGTCACAGGAAGTCAGAGCAGAAGTCATGGGGGAACACTGCCTACTGCCTTGCTTCCCATGGCGTGCTCCATTTGTTTTTGTATATACTCCAGACTATGTGCCCAGAGGAGGCACAACCGCATCGATCATTAACCAAACCCCACCCCACAGGCTTGCCTACAGATGTCCTCTCAGATGTGGCTCCTCCTTCTTGGGTAACTCTCGCTTGTGTCAAGCTAACTAAAACAACAGCGACATCCCAGACTGGACCACAAAGGCTTCCTTCTGTCTTCTACACTGTCCAGCAGAGGGCTGGAGACTTGGAAGACAACTTTGAAAACTATTTTTTTAACAGATATTCTGATTTTCCAAGTTTTCAATGGATTTTGAATGAGTGCCGAGTAAAAGACATAGGACACAGGTGTGAAAGTGTAACCAAGAAAACACTGAAGTTACCTGCACTTTATGAGCTATGTGTACTCCAGGAGCTGAGGAGGATTGGATGCAACATGAAATAGGCTCTTGTGTATTCTAACCAGACTAGATACAAAAACAGCAAAACAAAACAAACAACAAAAACAGAATCCCAGGCGACTCATAGAGCTAAGTAGTTTAATATAGTTTATAAATGCTTCTAGTTCAACTTCCTCAGCCTATGTATGGCAAACGTCCTTGACTGTGGCTATCAGCTAGGTGCCCTTGGGTCAGGCTGGTCAAGCAGGTAATCTGCAAAGAAAATCACATGAAGCAATCCGTAACATTTTTCCCTCTCCTTGATGGTTTCTCCCACCAGCTAGAGAAGACATGCAACGGCTGCAAACTCTCTGTCTTTGATTCTTTTTAAGAAGATCGTTTTATTTATTTATTTTTTCACCGAACTTTGCACCTTTCGCAGTTATTAAGCCAGACTGGAACATCTGGCTAGAAAATAATCGTTCCTTCAGTGAAGGAGGAGAAATAAGAACCCGTGTTGAAACAGAGTTAGCATAATTCCCAGGGCACTACAATTTGTGCTTGAAAACTAAGTGTAAACCTACTACGACTCGCCCTTCTCCTTAGATAGTCAGGATTAACAACCTTAACAAGGTAATAAATAATCAAGTCAACCGAACCCCACCCTGGAGTGAGCTCTGGGGTGGAACTTTTTGTTTAAGGCAGGCTTGTGACTGGGAGAAAGAGGCTCAGGCCCTGTAGAAGGCGAAAAGGAACCTGAGCCAAGTTATGAGCTACTCAGATCCCATCACTCGCAGTGGAATGGGGGTTGGGGTGAGGGGTGGGGTGAGGAGCGGGGAGCGCTGTACTTTAGAGGGCCGAGGACTCAGAGCCGGCCTGGTGACTTGAGGAAGCCCGCCCTGCTCACCTGGGAAGGGCGCCCTGCAGGGGCGGAGCCGTCTCGGGTCACCTGGGCGGTGGCGGAACTGAGAAGTCTGGGCGGATGCCGGGCACCTGGCAATCCACCTCACCTGCGCGGGCGGGCGAGGGGCGGGGCGGGGCGGGCGCACCTGCGCGGGCGGGGGGCGGGGCCGGGGAGCAGCCGTCGAGCTGGGAGAGCGTGCGGAGGCGGGCGGTCAGCCTCGACCCGGGCCTGAGACCCCGCCGCTGACCCCGGCCCGAGCCCCAGCCATGACTTGGAGCGTGTCGGCGCGGGGCGCGCAGCAGCCGGACAACACGGCCTTCACGCAGCAGCGCCTCCCGGCCTGGCAGCCGCTGCTCTCGGCCGGCATCACGCTGCCGCTCTTCTTCTGCGCCGGCCTGGCTTTCATCGGCCTGGGCCTGGGCCTCTTCTACTCCTCCAACGGCATCAAGGAGCTGGAGTACGACTACACCGGCAACCCCGGCACCGGCAACTGCACGCTGTGCGCCACCGAGGGCCAGGGCCGCGCGCCGCCACCCAACTGCTCGTGCGCCTGGTACTTCTCGCTGCCCGAGCTCTTCCCGGGCCCCGTGTACCTCTACTACGAGCTGTCCAACTTCTACCAGAACAACCGGCGCTACGGAGTGTCCCGCGACGACGCGCAGCTCAGCGGCCTGGCCAGCGCGCTGCGCCACCCGGCCAACGAGTGCGCCCCCTACCAGATCAGCGCCACCGGCCTGCCCATCGCGCCCTGCGGCGCCATCGCCAACAGCCTCTTCAACGACACCTTCACGCTGTGGCACCAGCGCCTGCCGGGGGGACCCTACGTCGAGGTGCCTCTCGACCGCACCGCCATCGCCTGGTGGACCGACTACCACGTCAAGTTCCGCAACCCGCCCCTGGTGAACGGCAGCCTGAAGCTGGCCTTCAGCGGCACGGCGCCGCCGCCCAACTGGCACCGACCGGTTTACGAGCTCAGCCCGGACCCCAACAACACCGGCTTCATCAACCAGGACTTCGTGGTGTGGATGCGCACGGCGGCGCTGCCCACCTTCCGCAAGCTGTACGCGCGCATCCGTCAGGGCAACTACTCGGCCGGCCTGCCCCGGGGTGCCTACATTGTCAACATCACCTACAACTACCCGGTGCGCTCCTTCGGCGGACACAAGCTCATCATCTTTAGCAACATCTCATGGATGGGTGGCAAGAACCCTTTCCTGGGCATCGCCTATCTGGTCGTCGGCTCCCTCTGCATCCTCATGGGTTTTGTCATGCTGGTCGTCTACATTCGCTACCAGGACCAGGATGACGATGACAACGATGACGAGTGATGCTGCTTCCCGAAGACCCCTTCCAGCTTCTTGGCCAAGCCGCTTTTCAGCGGCGGTCCTTTGCTCCTTAGCACAACAACTTCGAGCTCACCGATTGCCTCTTGTGGACGAAGGGTCTGGAGAAAGGAATCACCCGTTTCCTGATGTCTTTTGGAATGCAGAATGCCAGATCTTGTGATTTCTCCCCATCTCCTTCATGGCTTACCGAGTTGACATGTCAGGTCTATAGCATTCCAGAGCAAAGGAGATATCTGGACCGGAACTAGTTAAGACCAGCAGCCAGCAGTTGGATCCTTACTCTAAAATTCTGTTCCTTCAGTAGGACGGATTTCTGGGAGGGAGGTATAGGTGTCTGGAGAGTTGAGATGCAGGGTGGTGCCCACTGATGGCCTACAGAAACTTGAAGGAGTAGGGAAAGCATATTTGTTAGAATTTAAGTCGATGGAGAACGTTGAGCCTCTCGGGTTCTGACCCAGTAAGACCAGGATGGGCAACCTTCACTGAAGAGTCTGCCTTTCCTGAAGAGCCTCAGTGCCCTTGAATTTGGGAGTCTTGAGCCAGGCTGGGCCTGAAGCACTCAGATTTTTCTGGTAATAATCTATTACCATGAACACTGACGATCACAGTGCTCGGGTTTGGTCTTACACATAGGAAGCTTCCAATTTGTGGAATGAACGAGAAAAATTGCTAGCTCTAGGAAACTAGCATGCAGATCTGCAGGGCAGGAGTGTGCCAACTCGTAATTAAATGTAAAAGCAAACTTCACAAGACACTGTAAAAACTTGAAAAGGCAAGGCAGGTTTGCATGGCTCAGGGGGAAGTGTCTAAAACTTAGAAACTGAGTTGCAAATAATCTTAGCAGGAGACCGTTTTCCTGGGATCCTGAGTGTCTCTCGACTCTTTGCTAGTCCCTTTTGAATCATCATCTTTTTTTTTTAATGCTTAAGGGAATAGTTTAATTCATTCATATCATTTTCACAAAGAACTGTCTTAAACACAGTTTTAATTTATTCACAAATGAAATCCATTTCTAGTGATCATGTTTTAAAAATGCCAAGAATTATATTCTTATATGAAAAGTAGACTCAAGATTATTTCAGCCTTAATGTTAAAATCATTCAGTTGATTTTATTGGATTGTCCACAAAAGATATAAAGCTATAAGAATACAGGTACAATAATGGGACTTTTTAAATTTTAAAGCCCTCCTTTTATGGAACAATAACATAAAAGAACTTAAAAATAAAATTTCCCATGATACTGTCTTCCAGGTTCCCTGAAGAAAACAGTTAACTTGGTATTTGTCAGGGTCTTCTGGTCCTGGCTCCCCAGTGCTGTTAATTTCAGGTTATGGGTATATTTTTCATTCCTCAAAGGCAGTACATGGTCTTGAAGTATGTTTTATTTTTATGGCAGCCAAATGTTGAGTTATATTGAATAATTTCCATTAATTCCCTTATTCTTTGTAGTCGATACTAGTTTTGGATGCACAGCATGTCTGTCTTAAGATTGTCTGGGTCAAAAGTGACTTAAAATCATCTTGTCTCATTTTTATGTATATCAGAAAATTCTTTTAGTAGTTCCAGTATGCCGGCTTTCTGACTTCTGAATGTGATAAAATTTGATATTGGATCATGTACTGTGGTTTTTGACTATGAAAAGCTGATCATTACATGTATTTTTAGAAAGTTTTATTTATTATGAATGCCTGGTTGGCTAACTCTTCTGTGTCCTAATGAAGTTTGCTACACTTTTTTTTCACTATATAGTTGAAGGTAACTATTTTGCTATTATTTGTAGAACATTAGTCTCTCGTTGTACATTTTAATGTGAGACCACGACACTTAAGGCCCTGTGATTAAATTGTAGTTCCAGGCCTTGTCTCCGAGGTTTTTGAAAGAGAGTAAAGGTTGTGTTTGTCTTTCTCTGTTATCACATTACTTAGCTCTTTTGAACTGTGGTCTTAAAGGCACACACACAGTGCCTCGTGTTACTATCACCTTTTGGAATAAGATTCAGTCAAGGAGAACTCACTCTTTGATTACTAACTTCCTAAAGCAGCATTTGAACATACATCCTGTGTTTAGAATACACGATCTTCAAGTATTGTTTAAATTTGACAGATGGCAATCTCTTTTAAATCTTAGTATAAAATGTTATTAAAGAATGTGATCATAGCAGTCCTGCCTCTCTGCATTTTACTCAGATCATAAATTACAATTAACTGTTAGTGCTTGAGACTGCAAAAGAGCTGAAATTTTAAAACAAAATTGTCAGGCTTTTGCCTCAGGGACTCCTTACTCTGCAACATTTTTGTGCAGTATCGGGATTCTGATTGATTGCATCCTCATGTGTTTTCCAACTGGAGGTATGTCTTCTAAGAGTGAACAAGAGTGAACCTCAGCAGTTGGACTAGAAATAAACTTTGACCTACTTTGTGAAATAAAGGTACAAACAAAATTGTTCAGTGAGATACCTACCTCCATAAAAAATAATAAAAAAGCAGAGGTTTCCAACATGTCCACATCTGAAGTCGCTCAACAATCTGCTCACTAGAAAACTGTTTAAAAATTAAGGACAGACTTTCCTTTGGAACAAATGCTACTTAGTAGAATGTAGCCACAACTTCTCTGCCACACCAAAGAGTTCTTGGTGAGTCTGTGTTATCAACCAGCAGCTTATATGAACTTGGATAAAAGTCATCAGTTACTATAAATAAAACTAAATTCTTTTTTATTTACACTGGACATTCATTTACATCCCACATTTTGGCTATGGGTAAAAGAGAGTTAATTTTAGTCGGCAATTAAAAAAAATTTCCACCCAGGAGAATTTCTCTTAATTCTCTCACAAGAGTCACTTAAGGGGCCTTCCCAAATCTGATTGCAACCCATTAAGGCCTGAAGAGATCTCACATGTCAGCTTCAGCTTGTAAAGAGCTGGCTACATTTATTTATTTTTAGTGGTTTTCCAGTTGCTGGTGTTGCACCCTAGTATCCTTTATAATTTTCCCATGGCAGTGTGCATTTGGGAAAACTTACCTGCACCTTGTAAGAAGATAGCCATCATCAGTGTTCCTGATGTGAGGGAGGTCTCTAGAGCATGCTGACCATCCTTCAGTTAGCATACCGTTCTGGCACAGAGAAAACTCGTATGTAATGAGAACAAGCACACTGGGGTCATAGACTGGACGGGGAAGGTGACCAGACATGCTCCTGGTCTGACAGGGTACCAGAGGGCTCGGGGTCAGCAGCCAGCAGCAATGGAAGTTGTGGAGAAGACAAGGCTGGCTCAGCTGCAGAACCCACTAAGGACAGGACTTTATGGAGATGAGTGGTTCACCACCTTCTAAACCCTAGCTGATCAATTTGAGTGTGATTTATCTTTTCTTTAGAAGCAAAAGCATTGTCGTCAGGGTCCTTCACAGTCGTGCCCTCCACACTGACTCCTCACTAAGCTCCCATGGTGAACTACATAACTAGTGACTACTGTAAATGATGTGCATTAATAACGACATTTTGTTTTCCTTAAAGGGCTTTGCTCTGGAAGCCCAAGGTGCTTAACACTGTGTGACCTCATTCATCTTCTCCATCAGAGAGCGCCGGGGCTTCTAGAAAGCTATCAAGACCAATGGGGTAGAAATTGATTCCTTTCTATTTTTTTTCTATTTTGTTCAAAACTCTATAAAAATAAGCAGTGTCGGCTGGAGGCGTGTTTCAGTAGGAAAAGGCACTTGCTGCCAAGTCTGGCAACCCCAGTTCTATTCCCAGGACCAACATAGTGAAAGGAGAAAGCTGGATTCTTCAAGGTGTTCTCTGGCCTCCACACCAGAGCTCTTGCACGTGTATGCCCACACGATGCATAGGTGTAAAAATAGGTTAAGTCATACTCCTTAGAAACAAAAGAAAGAAGTCTAATAGTGAACTTGTGACAGTCATTGAAATGGATTACTAATTTTTCTTAAATTATTACCTTTACTGGATGGCAGTGGCACACGCCTTTAATCCCAGCACTTGGGAGGCAGAGGCAGACTTATCTCTGAGTTCGAGGTCACCCACGCATGCGTGCGCACACACACACACACACTCATTACATTTATTTTCTGTGTGTGTGTGCACGTGCGTGTGATTCATGCTCAAGAGCAAGTGTTCACAATCCACAACACAAGTAAAAATCAGAGGACAACTTTCAGGAGTCATTTTTTCAGATTTATCTTATTGTATGTGTATGAGTGTTTTGCTGGCATGTATGTATATGCACCACGTGCAATGGTTGGTGCCTGAGGTCAGGAGAAGGCATTGGATAACCCCTGGGACTGGAGCTATCAATGGTTGTAAGCTACCATTTGAGTGCTAGGAATTGAACCTGGGTCCTCTGCAAAAACAGCAAGTGCTTGCAACTGCCAAGCCATTTCTCCAGTCCCTCAGGAGTCTATTCTGCCTTTCTACCACGTGGATCCTAGGGCTCAAACTTATACCATCAGGCTTAGTGACCAGCACCTTAACTGCTGGGCTGTCTTGAGATCTTCCCAGCTTCACCATTTAAATGAATTAATTTTGTTTTGAGATTTCATATACACACAATATATATGTATATATGATGTATATATGTAAAAAACATATATTCTGATTACTTTCTCCAACACCCTCTCTTATTTCTTTCCCATCCCTATTACAGACTCCCAGAACTTTTCCTATGTTCATAACTTAGTTTTGTTTTGTTACCTATTTAATTCAGCCAGGCCATCATGTAACTGTTGAATTAGAAGTGTTTATTGCAGCTTAATGGGGTCTTCTGTGGCAGCAAATAGATGGTTAGGGCGCCCTGGACCTCTCCTCCATGCGTACTTGACTGTTGGTGGGTCCATTTTCCCTCAGACCCAGTGCTGCTGTGAGTTTGTAATCACAATAGCTGTGCCTTGCCCTGAAAATGACAACCACCTTCTCCCTACCCTCTGGCTCTCCCGGATGATGTAACTATCTTGTTATGGGCTGATCACTCAACCTGTCACTTATTCTCAGCAACTTGTGCAGCCATGAGTTTCTGATTTCTCCATCTGGCTTCATCGTTTAAAAAGAAATTCATTCTTGTTATGAGCTATAAAGGCATCTCCCATTGATTTTTGTTTTCTTTTTCTTCTCTTCATGTGTTCATGCACCCAGGTACTCATGCCTGAATATGTTTTTGAGTGTGGCCACAGGTGTTTGTGCATGCATGGGGAAGCCCAAAGTTGCTGGCAATCTTCATTCACTGTGCTCCATTCTATTCACTGAGGCAGGGCTTCTCAGTCAAACCCAGAGCTCACTGATATGACTAGTCTTGTTAGCCAGCTTGCACCCGGCGTTTCCTGTGTCCTCTTTCTGAGTCTGAAATCTCGGCCAGGCTGCCATGTCCACCTGGGATCTGCGTGGGTCATCTTTCTTTCACAAAGTGTTTTAATCACTGCACCAACGCTCAGCGTTTCTGTCAACACATCTGAGATAGGAGATGCAGCACTTCCCACTAAGACTGAGTGACAGAATTTAAAACTCTAATCTTTCCCTGCAAGTCTTTAAAGCTTAAGACTAATCAGTTACTTCAACACAATTTCCAGATAACTGAATATAGTATCTGTCAAGTTTTCCTTAGAGGAGCCAATTGGTGCTTATGATCACTTGCATGAATCTTTAAAACATTACTGATTGATTGTTATGTAAATGGAAACTCTCCTGCCTCCAATCCTATCTTCTCCCCTAACTCAGGTTTCCAACCACACCTTAGACTCACCTGCAGGTCCCCCAGGTTCCAGGTGGTCAGAGTCGAATTGACTGTTGTCTCCTGTAGGCTTTGTACTCTTAGTTACTTTTCGATTGCCGTGAAGAACACCATGACCAAGGCAATGTGTAAGGGACAGCATTTGGTTGGGGGCTTGCTTAGAGTTTCAGAAGGTTAGCCCATGACCATCATAGTGGGAGCATGGTGGCAGGCAGGCAGGCAGGCAGGCAGGCAGGCAGGCAGGCAGGCAGGCAGGCAGGCAGGCGTGGTGCTGATGCCCTAGCTGAGATCTTACACCCTGATTCAAAGGCAACAGGCAGAGAGAGACAACAAGCAAGACAGAGAGAGCATGGAATGGGCTTTTGGAACCTCAAAGCCCACTCCCAGAGGCATACCTCCTCCAACAAGACCACAGTTACTAATCCTTCCCCAACAGTGTCCCTCGCTGGGGATCCCTCATTCAAACACACGAGTCTCCAGGATCATTCTTACTCAAACCACCGCACAAGGCATTCCTGATTCCAAAGATCATTCCCGGTACTTAACCTGATTCCTGCACCCCCTTAGTCAAAATCCTGAACTGCCTGCTTGGCTGCTCCGTTTCTGTGTTCTCCAGCTTCCAAACGCTGCCAGATACTGTGGCTTCAGTACCCAAGGCCCTTTCAGTCAAGCCATCTTTTACTGCGGCCCTGGCCTGGCTTTGTTCTTTCTCACCTAGAAGTTGGAGAAGACTCCTGATCAGGAGTCCGGTTGACATTCCGCATTGTGGCCACTACCCCAATAACAAACCTCATCAGGCATGACTACGTCCAGCCTACTGGGGGGAGTCTGAATCCTCAGAGGGCTCTTCAAGGCCTTCCTGGTTGGCTTTGCCCTAGATCTTCAGGCCGTTTTCTTCCAATGTTCCACAAGACTCTAGTCTTCCTTGCCTAGTCTTACTTAAGGCATTTGCCGTGTTGCCTAGACGGCTTTTGTTCCGTCCCCCGCCCCCACGCCCGCATCTGCTTGCTCAGGTTGGTAACTCTGGGGGAGCTGAGAACGTGTCCCCTCCTTTGTTTCTTCATTGCCAATTCCTGGTACCTGGGCCAGTACACACAGCTCCTTAAATAGTTGTTAAATGACAACGAGGAAACTGATAATTCCATTACTTTACTACCACGGAACATTTCATTTCCTACAATTGAATGTGTTGGAAGTAATTCAGGAAACAAATGAGATGCAGAAATGACACTGTAAAAAACTGCAAATTTTAGGGTTAAGTGTGCTGTGAACACACATATATTCTGAACAGCAAGGAACCACTAAGCTTAAAGTTCCCATCTGGATAACTTAAGTGTTCGGTCAAGGTTTCCTCTGTAAAGTAATTTGCTGAAATGAATAGCAGATGGGTTACATTAGCCCTTGATAGTGGGATGGTTCCTTTATGCTCACAGGGACTCCATGTCTTCGCTGGTAAACTGCAGTCTGTTGATGGAATGTTTACATTTCTGTGGTGCTTCTTTATAGAGGACAATTTTTTACTCACTGAAGTATTTAATAATAAAATGCAAAATGAACATTGCTTTCCTCTGCTGGGTAATTACCTCAGAATCCATTGAAACAAAAGCAGCATCATGGAGAACTCCCCAAAGAGGAAGGCAAAAATAAATACAATAGTAGCTGCCCCGTTTGCTTGCTGGCGTTTGGTTTATAACATTTGGCACATCTTGGTATCTCCGCAATAGCAATTTTAGAACTATAAATGATACTCTACAGAGGTCACACCATAGTTATTTAAGTTCAGGCTTGATTTCCCTGGACACTAAGTAGTTATGAACGAATTATGTTTAGTCCGATATGCCACAGAAGGGTTATAAACTTCCAAGTCATCTCAAACCATGGAATGTCACTTCAATACGTCAGGAAAACTGTAAATGGAAACAATAATGCAGGACAGGGGAAAGGTATTTTTATGCTTTAAAAGTAATATATGTTTCTGGGAAGGAG